TAATTTGGAATATATTACACAATAGCAATAAGTATTTATGCAAGCCTCTGGTGTACTGTTAATCTTTAATATGAGAGATCCTGTATCTTTATGACTGTGTATCTTGGAATGTTTCATTTTTAAAAAACTAACATGCATTAAAGAACTCTGAATCTTGTATAGTGTATGAACATTTTTTAAAAATAGTTAATTTTATTGAACATTTTAAGGCCAAATTACACCAGCTGAGATCCCGTCCCTTTATTATTTCTTAAGCTTTTAAAATATACTTTGCTTTAAATAAATTGAATATGCTACATATTTTGTGAAGAAGTTAAAAAAAATATTCCCTAACGGCTGGCTCTGCAAACTCACAGGATCTGAGGGTATGTCTGCATTGGAGTTGGAAGTTGTAAATTTAGTCTTGAGGAGACCTATCCATGCTAGTTCTGATCAAACTAGCATGCTAAAAATAGCAATGTAGCCACAGCTGTGGAGGGGCTTAGCCACCTGAGTATGATCCCATCCGAGATCATCAGTCTTAGTTATGAAATCCCCCCAAAATTTATGTAACAATAGGTTTTGTCCTGATGCAAACTAAATTACTAGTTATTTTTATAATCAACAGCGCCACGGTATTTAAAGTTTATTTTTTAAAAGACTCAATTACTAAAACTTTTTAAAAACTTGTTTAAAATGCTGTTTTTCTATGATAAAGTAACACTGAAAATAAGTTGTGTTCACAAAACACTTCTTTAAACTGCTTAGGCTTATATTAAATACTGCCTGTTCTTGTCATAAGGAATTGCTCTTTTTCACCATTTCAGAATTGTACTAATAAGGCTGCAAAACTTAAGTACAAAGTTTACTTGCCAAATCTGCTTTAAATCTAAAGCTAAAAATAAAATCTTTACCATATTTAAATGTCTGTTCACTTTGTGAGAAAAGAATCGCATGAGTCAAACGATGTTAAAATGTTACCAGAATTGAATATCACCTTTCCAAGTCAGTTTCAGCTCTGAAGAAACTAACAGAAGGATTGATCCTGTACAAATAAAGGCAATGTGAGTTTTACCACAGACTTCAGGGTCAGGGCCTAATTGGATCTGGATTACTCTTGTGTTCAGTGAGTCTCACTTAGGATACACACTTTTACTAAATGCTTGGCTTTTAGTGGTAACAAGTTTGAAAATCTGGGTCACATTTAAGGCAACATGATGTTATTGTGTCACTTCCATTGGGCTGGGTTTCATTAGCATCTATAGGGAAGTCAATCTGCACTGCTGAAGCCTCATTGCTGTCTAGAGCTAACTGTATTGAGACTGAGCAACAGCTTTGACATCTGTTCTAAAAATTAAAAAAAATTCATCATATTTATATTCAGTTGAGAACAAAGTAACAGTCTTGGAAGGGAATTAAGAGCATTTCTGAATTTCTATTCTATCTCCACTTCATGTGGTTCTAGGAAATATCCTATCTGACTGCTGGACCCTTTCCCACAGTGGTATAAAAATAACAGTCTTTCCTTGGAGCTCTTTTATCACTTTAAAAAATCCAATTGACTGGTAGGAAATATTTTTATTATAAATTACAAATATATTGGGCTTTTTAATATACTGATGATCAAAGAGACAATAAATTTACAGTAATTTACAGGCCAACACAATACTTACTAGTAATATAATTCTGACAGTAATTTTCTTTCAAAACAGGAAATTCCATTGAAAGAATGCATTTCACAAAAGGTAAAAATGAATAATTGTGACCACAGTCCTGCAAAGCCCTGCTTAACTTTACACAGTGTGAGCTGTCCCGCTAAAGACAGGGGACAATTCAATGCACAAAGTTAAGTATGCTAGTACTAGTAGTCATGGTAGTAAAGTTAAGCACATAGGTAGGTCTTTGCAAGCTCAGGCTCTGTGGGCCTAATCATGCAAGCTCTCTGAATGTGGAACTCCCAGTGAAATCAATGGGAGTTCTGTGCATGAAAGGCTCACAGGAGCAGACCTAATCATGGTGCCACTTTGATTTTTTTTTAATATGCTTTTATTCCTGGGGGAATTCTGCGCCACTGCGTGGGCACAGAATTCAGGTCCCTCTGCAGATTTCTTTGCTTCTCAGCAGAAAGTGATGGGGAAGCAAAGGGAATCTGCATGAGTGGTCATGCGCCCGCCAAACAGGTGAGATGGAGGGAGCATGTGGGGTCATATGCCACTACCACCCCCCATTTCTGTGAGTGCAGAGCTGCCTGGCTGAAGGAGGGTTCAGCTCCGGCTTCTGACTCTGCAGTTGGAGGCTGCCTCCTGTGTCCTCGTGCTGGTCGTGCTCCTCTTGTGTGTGTTGGGAGCCTTCCTGTTTTCTGTACAAGGGGGAGTGCCTGTGGTGGGGCATGGCAGAGGTGGGAGGAAGAGGCAATGGGGGAGAGGGATGTAGGAGTGAGGGGAAGGAGGCAGGGGACAGTGGGGAGAGGAAGGGGGAGGAGATGAGGTGGGGACAGTGGGGAGGGGGAAGGGAGAGAATGGGGAAGAGAAGGAGAATGGGGTGGGGAGGTGAGAGCCTGGCATGTGGTGTCCCCTTGGTGGCAGCGGCGGCAGCAGCTGGGGCTCCCCTGTTAAGCAGGCCCATCGAACGCCTCCTGCACCTGGACCACCCTGAGCCCCAACCAGCTGCACCCGGATCCCCGCCCCACCAAGCCCCACTCCCCAAGCACCCAGACCCCTCCCCATTGAGCCTCCCTCCACATGGACCTGCCCATTAAGCTCCAACCACCTTCACCTGGACCCCCCTGCAGAATCCCATTGCCCCTGCACCCAGCCCCTCCCCCCACAATGAGCCTTTGTGCATCCAGATCCCCCAATGAGCTGCCTGCACCCAGGTTACCCTACACAGAACCCTCTCACCCCACACCTGGATCTCCCCACACTAAGCCCTTCCACACTTGGATCCTGCCAGGCTGAGCCTGCCTGCCCACACCTGGTGCAGAGGGGCAGGGCCTGGCCCTTGCCCTTTGTCAGGGTTGGGTGCAGCCCCACCGTTGAATCTGTGTCCCGGGGGGACTGCAGGGTGATCTCCCACCTCGATGCAGCCAGTGGCCTGTGCTCTCCACTCCCATGATGGAGCTTCCACATTTATTTATTGACAAATAAAATTTGCAGAATTTTAAAATGTGCGCAGAATTTTTAGGTTTTTGGTGCAAAATTCCCTCAGGGGTAACACTTTGTGCAGGTGTGTGTATCACAAATACTACACTTTTAAAGTAAATACTATTTAGACCCCCAGTCCTGTAAGCTGAGCTAAGCGTGCAAACCCTTAAACCTGCACAAAGCCCTAGTGAAGTCAGTGAAGCTCTGCGTGGGTGCAGAGGTTTGCTCACATGTCTCATCTTGCATGACTGGGTTTTTAGTTGCACATCATAATAGCTTTCAAAAGGAGTTGGCATGATTTGCAGTTGTCCTAATTTAGCTGGCAATATGTAACTTAATTCAGTAGAAATCAGCATAGCTGTATGTGGTGCACTTTAATTTTAAAAGCATTATCAATTATTCATTACAGTTTAAATTAACGTAGGACTTGATTCTGGTCACAACAGGCATATGGGCGCTCTGTCAAAGTCCCTTGGGTGCTGGACCAGCCCCTTGATGAAGTTTTGCAACAAAACAGAGTTGTTAAACATAACTGAGGTGGGTTGTGTATGACGGCAAAAAGTGAGAAGAATCATAAGTAGTTTACAAAAGGAAAAGTCATGACATGCAGGAAGAAATGCTGGCCCCATTGAAGTCAAAGGCAAAACTTCATTGACTTGAATGAGACCTGGATATCACCCACTGTGATAATTAAGAAGTTATGGGAAGTTGAGAGGCCAAATATCCTTTATTTTTCAATAATTGTTTTTTTAATGTAGTAATATTTAATGGTTTAAAGACATTTAAAAATCCCATAGTCCACTACACTAGCCATTAAATGTATGGAGGCTTGCTTGGTAGCAGCTGACTGGGGAGATCAAAAACATGATTTTTTTGTGAGAAGTCATGTTTTTTGTCATGAAAATGAGAAATATTATGCCTTATCTAGTGCAATCTGTGATGCTTTAAAGCAACAGATACCATTACATACCTACTAACACAGAGAAGGAAACACCATAATATTTGTATATGGTATCAGTTCTGGCTCTGGCATCTTAAGTTTGATTTTAAGCATTTTTTATTCTAACAGTTTACTACTGACCTGATAAGTTATGTACTAACGTAATGTGGAAAATGACAGAAATACAGTACTTGACTAGTATTGACACTCTTAAGTGCATGATCCATATTTGCTCTCCCTTCTTCATCTGTAGAACTGTATGAAAATCAGTGACATCAGATTTAATTCATCATAGTACTGCCTGACAGAGACTGATGCATCGATATGAGCTGAGCAGACTTAGGGCTTGTCTACATTACCCGCTGGATCGATGGGCAGCGATCGATCCAGCGGGGGTCAATCTATCATGTCTAGTCTAGACGCGATAAATCGACCGCCGAGTGCTCTCCCGTCGACTTGCTGCAGTGAAGACACCGTGGTAAGTAGATCTAAATACGTCAACTTCAGCTATGTTATTCACATAGCTGAAGTTGCGTAACTTAGATTGATTCTTCCTCCTCTCCCCTCCCAGTGTAGACCAGGCCTGAGATTCAGCCCAGACAAGACCGAGATAGTGCCTATACGGAGGGAGAAGCAAACTGAGGAAATGGCAGAAATTATATCAGTATCTTTGATTAATGGCATGTCTTGGTTTGGTTGGGGAAGTTGTTGGATCCTGAGGGGTTTCTGGATGTCCAGATAGCAATTTAGATTGTAAGTGCCTTGGGGCGGAATAAGTAATACTCATTCTTATCTTGCACTTGAGAGGGATCTTACATTCTCTCTTGTGAATTTGAACCATCCCATTGTTATCCATGATTTTACCATCAGGTGCGGCTACTGCAGTGCTATAAAAAGGAAGGCATCATCAGGTCCCCAATATTTAATACCAACTCAAAGATGTGGATCCCTGAAATGGAAACTAAAAGCCTATTCTGGTTCTTTTCAGGTAGAATAAATATTAATACCTCAAATGGAAAGAGTTTGTCTGAAAGAGCCTCTCAGAGGTGCTAATCTTCTGCATTTCCTCTAGAACTCTTTGATAAAGATGGCCTACGCTGGAGTCAGAGTTTTCCTCCTCTTTTAGGTCAACACAAATGTTTTCTTCCTAAGTTGAAAAAAATGGGATGATACCTGTTAAAGATTTTCCTCCTTGAAATGTTTGTTTTAAATTAGACTTGATGGGCTGTCATTGCAATTGTTATAATTTCACATTGTCCAGGACAGTTGCATTGTCATCATTTTGGGTTCTGTTGTAATAACTGGGCCTAACATTTTACTCTACCTGTGAGCTCAACTGTAAAAACTATGTGAAAGTTCATAAGATGTCACAATAACCTATAATAAATGTTGATGGGAAAAGGTACAGCAAGGAGACAGAAAAACTAAATTAGCCTGAATAAAAGGGCCTACTGATATGATTCAAGGACTGTCAAAATCAAGCTTGGTAAAAACAGAAGATGTGAAACCAGAAATTAATTAACCAAAATTGGTGTGGGAGATATTAGGCCTAAATTAAGGTCCTTAAAGATACTTTAACATAACATGGAAGAACAGACAGAGGCTACTGGAGTGAGCTTTACCATATGGCAGCCACCTCCACCATCTCCTGGGATCCCAAACCTTCTTTGTCCTAATCCTGAGAGACGGCCTGACCAGACTTGGCCAAAGAGAGAGACTCCGATACCATCGCTACCTCTACTGGCTCCAGCTGAATCCCAAACACTACGTGGGATGAAATGGGATCAGATTTTGACAAAAGTAGCTCCAGCTCATCACCACTAACTTCTTCTCTTTTACGCAAAAGGACAGTTATTACCATCTCTAATACCATCTAAGAGACTGTGAAAAAGGGGGGGGGGGTTCCTTCTAAACCGTTCTCCAGCTAAAGTGAAAGGGAACAAGAAATTTTGTTAAAATGAAAGCCTTATTTAATATTTTACATTTCAAATGCTTTAACTGCTTTTCTTTCTTTGCTATATCTTTAATAAAAGGTTGAAAAGATTTTTAATGGTGTATTTGCCATGGTACAAAGCAGGCTGAGGTCTCTGTATACCAATCCCTGAACCTGTTTAATGTTGAACAGTGACTGAGTTATGTTAACACCTTTTAGCCCATATATTCCTCTAATACATCAGTTCGTAAGTCCTCTAGATGCACTATGGTGCCAATGAAATATTATTTCATTGAACTATGTCAACCGAAGTGCATGGGACTACATAAGGTTACTGGTTTCTTTGGACAGGAGATACTGTTTGCTGAAATAGTATCTGCCACTCAGAGTAAGAGTGAGGGCTAAAAAAGCTGCTCTGTGTGAGCACTTCCTCCAATTTTTCTGGGTGGATTTTATGCTAAGAGCACTAATTAGGGCAGGTGCTGGTCAATCTTTGACACACATGATTTGACAATTAAGCTCTAGTCCTGAATGGTGACACCTCTATTATTCCAATCCTAAACCCTTGGAGCAGACTGCCACTCATTCTGAATTATGTTGTTTGAGATTTGCCCCGTCTCCATGGCGTGTGTATACTAGGAAACCTTGTAGCCAGAATTCACTACCTTGGCAGCAACAGTGAAAGCTGTTATGAGGATAGGACTCAGGGGTTTTTACTACTGTATCACCTGACCCTAGGATGTACGGGTGGTGAATTAAGGCTATAGAGTTTGCAAGTGTAAACAGGCTGTAGAAACTAGTGTGAGAAACTCTTTTTCTGAATCCCTCACTAATTTAAGTATTTTCAAAGATGTTTAAAGGCTGTTTTTACATCCAGGCTGTTAATTTGACATGTCACGTTTGGTCTAATATGATTTAAGCAGCCAATTTACAACTTTTGTTTTTAAAGTGTGTTTCAAATGGAAACAGAAACTGCTGCCTACTTAAAAAAGCACTTAAGAGTTTTGTTACATTAATAACATAATTTCATCAAGCTCTTACCATCTGTTCATGCACATCATATAATGATCCAAGACTCAGGCTATCAGATACAGATGATATAGTGAACTCCTCTTCTGACTGTTGGTTTTCTAATGCACCTAAAATACTTGTTACTGTCACAGATGAATCTGAGAAACTGTCTTGTTCTTCATCAGATGTTTCAGCTATAAAGTTACGTTGTTCTTCTGAACAGGTGCAACAACACTGAGCCTTCTGTGGGATATGTGCCATTTGCCAATCACATGGGTCTGTTAAAATAATGTCACTTGTATGTACGTTACTGATAGTATCCTGAACCTTCGTGTCTCCTGTGGATTCATTAAGGATGAAACACTGGTTACATAATTGTTGTATACTTTTGTTTTCTAAACTGCTGTCCAGATCTTTAGGCTCAGATGCAGTTGAAGTAGGTGATGCATCTTGCTCCATTTCCAGGAAAACTTGATGTAGAAAGGAAGGTGCTCCAAGTGTGACCCTAGAAAGGTGTTCTTCATTTTCATTCTCTGGAAGATGTGTCACAGTCCCTAAAGATTTACTTTCTGAAGCAATGGTTTGAATTCCATAGTCACTTGTTATGTTACAACTATTCAAGTTTACACAGTTACATTTCTGTTCAGTATTTCTGGAAAACTGCAATGGACCTTGGAAACGGACCTTATGGGATTTGGTGTTTTTTCCTGTAGCTAATTCACACAAATCTTTCTTCTTTTTTTGGTGCTGGTTACTTTGAGGTCTCAGATGAAGGCTGTTACATGTGGTATTTTGGCTGTGGTGAATGCCACATTTAAGAGCCACAACAGAAGCTGTTTGTTCTCCCGTGTTTTCATTTATGATTGGGGTTTGTGCATTTGTGGAAATAGTATGAATTATTTTCTCATTTAATTCCCTGTTTCCTTCATTATTTTTTCTTTCTTTTTGATGTAGTGGCATATTCCTGGAGTTCTCCATTGGCCTTCTCTGTGAAAGCTTGCTAGACTTACTAACTCTGATGCCTGAATGCTTTCTACTAGGCATTTGGGGTGACTTTTGCCTTTTGAATTCAGATGACTTACAGAGCCACCCAGAGATGCATTCATTTTTCTGAGAGTGAGCAAAACTTGTCAAGCCTGATATACGGCCAGTACTTGGCTCTGTATCTTGGCATTCAGACATCACTGAAGAGCTGCACAAGGCAGAGGACTCTCCTTCATTAAGCACATTTTTTTTAGGACCTTTACTTCTGCCAGTTCCTTGTGCATATGGAGATATGGTACTTAAGTACAATGAATTTAAATCATTTGCTCTTGTAGAAGTTTTAGAAAGTACACTCCTATGTTTAGACGAGTTACTGGAAATGTTAGATGATCTCTCAACTCTGAACTGTCCATTTACATTTCTAATGTTTTTTTCTTTCTTGCCTTTCTTCATATCTAAAGTAGACACCATATTTTTAATGATTAATTTTAATATTTATTTAACAAAAAATCCCTCATCCCCTGGCACTTTACTATTATTTTAAAACACAACAATAAAATGGATCAAACAAATATAGTCTACTAAAAGCGAATAGAAAAGTCGAGGGAAAAGGACAAGCTGTAAAGTAGATAATTAGAAGTCATGACAAGAAAGGACAAAGTGTTTGTCAGAGAGAAATCAAGACGAGAATGAACTTTCAGAAGAGATTTGAAGAAAATATGATGTAAAAGAATGAATCAGAAGAGGGAGCAGTACAAAGGAGCAGAGCACATATTAGGAAGTAACAGACCAGGAAAAGAATCTTTTGCAATATGTTCTTCGGATAATATGATGTTAGACCAAGGTGTGTGTGAGTCTGTTAGAAGTTTGGCAACAAAGGTTATATCTACACAGCAGCTGGGATGGCACTTCCCAGTGTGGGTAGTCAGACGCACACTGGCTCTGGTTGAGCTAGCACCCTAAAAATAGCAGTGTGGCCACAGCGGCACAGGCTGGGGCTAGCTACCTGAATACGTACCCAGGGGGTTGCGCAGGACTGAACTCCAGTAACTAGCCCGAGTCGCTGCCCATGCCACCCTGGCCACATTGCTGTTTCGTAGCACACTAGCTCAAGCAGAGCTAGCGTGTTTACCCGCATTGGGAAGCACACTCCCAGCTGCTGTGTAGATACACCCCAAAATAAAAAAAGTTCATTTCCTCTCCTGCTTATCTGAGATGGATTCTGCACCTCCAATGTTATTGTTTTAACAGTAAAGGTGTAAAATGTAACTTAATCATTTGCAAACTTGCAATTGTGTTTAGAAACAATTTCAGTACCTTCTAAGACCAACTGCTACAATAATTGAGCCCTGCTAACAATCCAGGAATCAGCCGTGCATTCTCAAATGGCTTACTTGGTTATTCTTTAAGAGATTTTTCATTGCAGGCAACAGCTGTTTTCTAAGACATGGTGAAAAGGATTGAAAAGTATATTAAGAATGTACTTACTTTTCCCATAATCATTCCTTGAATTTTCTTGGATAAAGTCAGCATTTGATTCTTCTAATTTGTTCGTTTCCCGTGTACTTTTAAAACAGAATACATCAATGCTATGAGAAGTATAAAATAACTGTTTCAAAACAAAATCAAGACAACTTGTCATACTTAATGAGATTTATAGTCTTGTTCATTATTTTTCCTGTCTTTTCTAATGTACCTATTCTCTGTATCAGATTGTTTCTCCTCATACAGTACTGTACACTGACTCCCAATCAATGACTTACAGAAAAGTCTTTATATCTTTTACTGCTTTGCATGATAGCTGTAATACACAGCATAACAAAAATAAGCAATTTGGCATGTTAATTATTTCTCAATCTCTGGAAAGGAACAATAAGTCCCTTAATGTTGGAAGGGCAAGCTTTGAAAAGAAACCTGTTTTCCTAAAATCAAAAGCTCATTTAATTTTAAGGATTTTGTTTTTATGCAATCAGACTAGACTGACTTTGGTTTCTAAATATAACTAGGAATTACAATAGGATGAAAAGCAGTGATTGTTGAATTGATCATCTCTCTGCCACTGCCAAAGAGAAAAGAGAGTGAATTCTAATATAGGACTCAGGTTAGATGCCACACACCACAAGTTGCATACAAATACGATTTAGCCAAATTATTTGGGGATCTGAGAATATTTCAGTAAATGGGCGTTTGGACAGTGAGGGACTCTTTACATTATGGGAAAGGTCCTTTTTAATTTCCCCCCAGATAATCAGGGTTTTGATAATCTAGGTTTGACTGTACTATGGTAGTAAATGTCCTTCTGATTAACTGAATAATTTAATAATCCCAGTGATCTCTGTACATCCCAACTACTGTATGAACATATCCACTCATACAGCATATGAGATCACAGCAGGCATGCACAGCTTTGTCCCACGTATGGATAGGACCTATATTAAGTATAACTTGTTTAATATCAATTATTTAATGTTACACAGCCTGCTTCTCCTCTCTTTATCCCAGTATAAAACAGGCCTAGTTTCAAGGAAGTCCGTGGATTTACATTAGTTCACAATTGGTCAAAATGAAAGGAAAATCAAACCAGTAATGACCATTTTTAAAAGAAATGGAAATAGGTGGACATTTACTACTAAAATACCAAGGTATGTGAAATATAGGGCCTACAGAACTTGAGCAAGCTCTTTTAAAACACCTATTGGTGTCTAATCCCATGCCGAAGTTTTTTAGTTGATATGCCCCAGCACAATAAAACCTAAAAACTTTTCATGCAACAGTCAAAGCCACAATTGCATCCACAGTAAACAGTTCATCATAACCCTGTTTCTGGTGCCTAGGTTCCTCCATTTTTTCTGCATGACTTGCTGTAAATTACAGTGCACCATTGTGCTGTGTGCAACCACAAGGATTTGATCAATATGTGGTCACTGCCTCAGGGCGTGATTTGTTATCAAGTTATTTTGGTATTTGTGATCTGAAGTTAGAATGTCAGACAGTCTTTTAGAAAGAGGAAAGATCTGTTTTGCTTTTGCTTAGGGTCAGACACTGAGCATTCGAAACTTCTATTAATAAAAGCTTCTCTGAAACATGAGATGTGCTAATGTAGAAGTTACCTAGTTTCAAATGGGAGACAGTGGGGACTATATAAAGATTCTCTCTTACATACATTTCATATAAAAAATCTGGGCCTCTAAAACTTTCAATAAAAGACCAGTCCTCCACATTACATTTGACATGATCTACCATGCTTGGAAAGACTTATGATTGTGAGAAGTCTCTCTCAGTAATGCTGCCTTTCTACAGCTGGCCTCTTTATTATTTATAGGATATCTTGTGGATTAAATACTCCAAACATATTTCCTCTTATTGTTTTGATAAAGTTTGGGTGGGACAAATGTCAATAAGTCTGATAACACAAATAGGGTAATTTAACAGAAAAGGTTCAGCTAACTTTAAAAATTAGAAAGGTATAAAGAAATCCTACTCTAACATCTGATACAAATGTCCAATCCTGATCCTCTAAAATGTGAAAGTGCTGTAAATGTTTAAAACAGCGTCAAAAGGTACAGAGTATAACATTATAGGCTATCATAATTTCACTCAGCTGTGCTGCTGAAAATCTCTCTGAATTTTTTTCACACCTCTTAGCTTCATATTCATGGGGATCTGGAGAGATCACAAGAGGAGGTGCACGCTGCTTGTAGTAGTGGTCCAATCTTTGACTATTTTTAGCTTCTTTCCTCTTCTGGGGTGAGGCACAGTCTGGCTTCTTTATTTCCTCCGAAGAGATTTCACAAGTCTGAGAAGAAGATAAGTGTCATTATATTAACAGAATTCTTTACAAATTGAGTTTGCTACAGGTAAGCTATTAGTTCATAAACAATTCTCCATTAATTTTGTAGTCAGCACGAGCAATAATAGTTTTAACCACTTTTCCTCTTCCAAGGCTTACATGTTATCTATTGAATCCTCACAGTATTCTTGTGAGATAGGGCAGCGTTATTTTCACTTTCACAAGGGGGAACTTGTAGAGGCAGAGAGAGAGTATGTATGTCTTGCTTAATGTCTTAGCAGGAATCTGTGTCACAGCCAGGATTAGAACTGAGGAAATCCTGGCTCCCCAGCATGTGCTGAGGCCCACACACTAACATTCCAAGCTTGAGTCTCCTTTAAAGTGGGTGCAGGTAATTTACACTCACTTACATTTTAAGGCCACTTTACACTGTCAGAGTACTGCAAAGTGTCATAGAGACAGAGTTTAAGGCCAGAAGGGACCACCATATCATCTAGTCTGATTGCCTGTATATCACAGGCCACCACCACCCATCCACGCACTAAACCCAACAACTGAAATTAGACCAATGTAGTACAGTCCATAGGAGACTAGACTATTAGGGGAATAAGGACAACCCAGGAAATTAATAGAGCAAATAATCAGTCAATTTGCAAACAACTAGAAGATAATAAAGGTGATAAATAACAGTCAACATGGATTTGTCAAGAACAAATCATGTCAAACAAACCTAATACCCTTTTTTGACAGGGTAACAAGCCTTGTAGATAGGGGGAAGTGGTAGATGTTGTATATCTTGACTTTAGTGAGGCTTTTGATACTGTCTCACATTACCTTCTTGTAAACAAATTAGGGAAACACAACTTAGAAGGAGCTGCTATAAGGTGGGTGCATAACTGGTTGAAAAACCGTTCCCAGAGAGTAGTTATCAGTGGTTCACAGTCAAGCTGGAAGGGCATATCACGTGGGGTCCTGCAGGGATCAGTTCTAGGGCCAGTTCTGTTCAATATCTTTATCAGTGATTTAGATAATGGCATAGAGAGTACACTTATAAAGTTTGCGGACGATACCGAGCTGGGAGGGGTTGCAAGTGCTTTGGAGGATAGGATTAAAATTCAAAATGATCTGGAGAAATGGTCTGTAGTAAACAGGATGAAATTCAATAAGGACAAATGTAAAGTACTCCACTTAGGAAGGAACAATCAATTGCACACGTACAAAATGGGAAGTGACTGCCTAGGAAGGAGTAGTGTGGAAAGGGGTCAGGGGGTCACAGTGGATCACCAACTAAATGTGAATCAACAGTATAATACTGTTGCAAAAAAAGTGAACATCATTCTAGGATGTATCTGCAGGAGTGTTGTAAGCAAGACACAAGAAGTAATTCTTCTGCTCTACTCCGCACTGATAAGGCCTCAACTGGGGTATTGTGTCCAGTTCTGGGAGCCACATTTCAGGAAAGATGTGGACAAATTGGAGAAAGTCCAGAGGACAGCAACAAAAATGATGGAAAGGTCTAGAAAACGTGACCTATGAGGGAAGACTGAAAAAATTGGGGTTTTTTAGTCTGCAGAAGAGAAGACTGAGGGGAAACATGATAATAGTTTTCAATTACATAAAAGGTTGTTACAAGGAGGAGGGAGAAACATTGTTCTCCTTAAACTCTGAGGATAGGACAAGAAGCAATGGGCTTAAATTGTAGCAAGGAAGGTTTAGGTTGGACATTGGGAAAAACTTCCTAAATGTCAAGGTAGTTAAGCACTGGAACAAACTGCCTGGGGAGGCTGTGGAATCTCCGTCACTGGAGGTTTTTAGGAATAGGTTAAAACATCTGTTTGGAGTGGTCTAGTAATTACTTAGTCCTGCCTGGAGTGCAGGGGACTGGACTAGATGACCTATTGAGCATCCTTCCAGTCCTATAATTCTATGTGCCACAGGCAGAGAATAGGAGGGACCATGGTGCACCAGTGCCCAAGGCCCCGGCAGTGGCTGGGAAATGATTAAGTGAGATATCCTAGCAAGTGACCTGCTACATATATACAAAATATTCTGTGTTGGTCAGTCTGTTTGATGGGAACATGTGTTATGGTCAAAAGTTTCACATACGAATGAAATTAATGAATTGATTGATGAGGTGCTGGCTTCAAATGTCAGCACCTCTGAAAATCAGGTCACTTATTTCGATACTTAAATTCATACTTACTGGCCTGATCCAGAATCCGTTAAATCAACTGAAAAACTCAGATTCATTTAAACAGGCTTTTATCAAATCCTATGTTTGAAAAGTGGTTTTGCTTTTGTTGTAGTATAAATGTAGAAGCCAGTATGTTGTCCTTGACTTTATTTGAAATAAAGACTGTACAGAGACAAAAGAATTGATATAATTGTATAGTGTTTTTTAAATAAGCTGAGGATCAGGGAAAGTGAGGTTTATTTACTATAAAAGAGTCTCTCCCTGGGCAGCTGTGTATATTAAAGTTTTTGGGGGATTTCTTCATTCTGATGCAAGCTGACCATGCCTTATTCCCCTTAATAGGATGGCCCCTGTCCAACTAGTCTGTTTCACTGCAGAGAGCGGAAGGTCGTGGGTATTTTCAACTGGACGTGGTGTGATATGATTTTATGGAGCAGCAAAAGACTTTGGCTAAATTCTGCTCTCAGTAACATGGTTGTATATCCACAATAACTATTAAAGTCAAAGCAATTACTGTGGATTTACAGTCAGAGTGCAAAATTTGATCCTTTATCATTGCAATTTATGGGGAACTTGTTGTTAAAGTGCAACAGTGGAAAATGTTCTGTTACCTCTTTAATGATTAAAGTAGCATGACCTGTATTACTTACCGCCGCAACAATTAGCTTTGAAGCTGATGAAATGAGCCTCATGACTTCTTCTTGTGATGTGTATGGGGGAGGAGGAAATTGAGATAGTCTGGAAGGGAAGCTGTGCAACTTCTTTGTTCTAGTTAAACATGAAAGAATATATTTTAATCCATCTTGAAAGAAAATTCTATACATATCAATAGGATATAATGTACCACAGGTGTTTGTGAATGTCAGGAATGTAAATAAATTGCCATGATTTCAAAACTGGCAGATTGCTGTCAATATGGTGAAATTTATGACACTATTCTATGAGCTCCAAAGGTTTGTATGTGGGACATTTTGAAGCTGTGGTATAAAATCAACTAGCTTCTCAATTGTTTCTGTTTTATTAACTGAATTACAGTCATGGAAAAGATTATTTTACCTGAAGTTATAAACTGGATTTCTGTGCTATGTTTTCAGAGATTATTTTAACGTTTCTGTTTCTGTTGGGAAAAGGATAGGGAGAGCCCAGTACTTGATTTGATCCTTATGGAGAGAGGTCTGTTTTGTATTTCTATACACGATGATCCATGTCTCCTCTTCCTGTCCTTTTACACAGAGATTGCCAGCACCCTTCCTGCTTGGGGCTGTTTATTGGAGTTTAGGTTCATGAGTGAATTATGCTCCATAAAGCAATGCCAGTCTAAAGGCTCCTCCATGCAATTTTCAGATTTTCTCCCACCCAGTTATTCTATGCTCACCATTTCCTTCATACATACACTTCTCAAACTTCCCCACAGCCACCACTACAATATTCCTCTTCCAGCAAAGAAGATAAGTCAGTGGCACTTCTACTCCATCTATAGGTGAGAGAGATCCATCTGGAGAGTGGAAACTCATCAACCTGACTTTCTTAAGATACAGTTACTCCCATAACTCAAGCTCCACTGGCTTAGGAGTCATACCTGGGTCTGCTGTGTAGCAGTATATTGCACTGCTGATGTATGTGGACTGGCACAAGACAGATGCTTAGCAGAATTTACTGTGATTTATACATTACCTTTTTGTACTCCTTACTAAGACCGGGAAAGGTCTGTCAGTTAAAACATCCTTCAAAACAAACAAACATATTATTGCATTTATTTAATGCAACTCTGACTGTAATTGTTATCTTCTTCAGAGAGACTTTAGTAAAGCAGCAAAATGGCTCATGTCTCTCCTAATTATTTTCAGTTTTTTTTATAAAATATTAAAATAGGAACTTTCTTTATCAAATTGCTTTTGTGCTTGTTCATAACATTACTTTTTATTGTAGTGATTTTAGCAGGCCTATCTTCATAGCAGCTAGATGCAACGTTAAAGTACTTTAATGACATAAAATTCTGATAGAAGGGGAAAATTAAAAGCAAAAATTAAACTTCTATGTGTGTATCTGAACAGGAAAATACTTTATATGTATAAAGAAGAACATTAAGTGTTACTTGTGCCATTTTCTTTTTGATGATCTTCATTTCCTGTTGTCTTTCTGGGCTGCTCTGTAATTTTCTTTCACATTCTTCAGAATTTCCTGTATACATTCGAAGAGATGCTTCGAATTTACAATCTGTAAAATTATGCTTGAGACACTGATCATATTTTTGTTCAGCAATGCTTCCAGGATGCTGTAATAAATAAAAATGGTAGAAAATTATGGGTAAAATATGGATATTTACAGAAGGAAAGTCAATCTTAATCCATGTAGATAATTACTTATTTAAGAAAGACATTCATTTTACATAGTACAGTAACATACAAAAATGCATACCTTAGTCACCAAACTCCTGATTCAGGAAATTACTTAATAACATGCTTAACACTGTGTATATGCTTAAGTCCTACGTACCTCAGTCCCTTATATTTACACACATATGCTTGTTATTTTCTGAACATGGATGCTCCCCTGAACCGTCACACAAACCGTACACTTGTGTTTGCAGGACAGGTAAATCATAAAAATTAGTACTAAAACTACTCACTAAGGATTGCTCTATTTAAAAAAAAAATCAGTAGTACAATAAAGGCTCTTGTTAAACCTTAGTATAGAAAGCATGTTGATGATATGATGCATAAAATATTAGATACATTCTACTTAGACAGCAACCTTTCATCTAAGAATTTAAAAATATTATACAAGCATTCATTCATTAATTGACTTTCCCAAGGGCAAAACAGTGAGTCAATGGCAGAACTGGCAATAGAATTCCATAGTCCTGATTTTTACTCATGCTTGAGTCATCATATCACTGTCCCCTGGCATTATCTAGGGTCCAGTGCTGCAAACGAACACTTTCACATGTCAGTAACTTTATATCGGCAAGTCATTCTGTTGCACTCAGTGGAAGTACTTGTGTACATACTCATGCCCATGAACGTAAGGGTTTGCGAGATCTGTGCCTGCCTTTGTGTTACTGCATAGCTGATGGGAGATTAATGCAGGTAATTCACATTAACACAAAATGTGCATGTAAATTTCTATGCAGCAGTGGGAAAATAAATGTCACTCTACAAAAGTATTTCTATACATTTTCACAGGAAAAGTTATACATTTTTCCTCTGGCTTGTTAGAGATTTCCTCATTGTGCAGCAGAGAGGGTATGACAAACTAATAAGTAATTCAGTGTGCAATGTACACTTCCTCATTAAAATAAAATACAGTGAAAAACCTGTTCTTCCAACTTACCAGGTCTCTAAGTAGCATCAATTTACAAACTGGCAAACTATGATGATTAGTTGTTCTATTTGTTTAAGGACTCTCAGAAAAGTTTTATATAACCTAGCAAACCTGCAGCATAAGATGTAACCCAAAGGGAAAAAAACCTTCTCAATAAGGAATTCAGTTTCCAAAGCGAATCTGGAATTGTGGATTCCTTAAAATTTCCAACTGTTCCACTAGCAGTGCAGTTTCATCAGAGATAGTAATGGTGGTGTGGAGGGGGGCTGGCTACTGGTGTTTTAACTGGCTACTGTGTTGTCTTACCCAGCTCAGCAGAGGTCTCTGAGACATGGTGGTTCAAATGCCAGTAGCAACCTTTACCCTGTCTATTCTAATCACTGTTGCTACCACTGATAGAGCTACGCTAGTGCTAGCAATAGAAAATATTAAGAAAAATGTTAGTGTGGACAAGACCTGTGATTTCTGAATTTTATATTGTTGAACAGCAAATACCATGCTTTCCATTTGGTCTTGGTTTTATTTTGGTCTTAACTTTTATTCTCAAAAGTTATTTACTTTGTGTTTGTTTCTTTGTTTTTGAAAAGGCAAATATGTTATGAAGTGTCCAACTTTAGGGCAGAGAGATGGGGTCAGAGTTACTAATACTAAGGAGAGCTAGGAATTTTCTGATACAAATGTTCTTTTTGCCCTGGTGGAAATAAAACATGATAAATATTGTGATGATCTGAGTGGTGAGCTAAAGAAGGCATGCACCACTTCTGTAGGGATCAGTACTTGGGCCCTGATTAAGGAAAGCTGTTAAGTACATGTTTAAGTTCCAGTGATGCCAATGGGACTTAAACACAAGCCTAAAGTCAAGTATATGCTCAGGGTGCTTTCCTGGATCGGAACCTTGGTTAGCTCCAGATTTCGTATAGGATCCCTTGATAGCTGAAATATCAAATATACATACAGCTTTGATGAGCTACTACAGTATCTGCAGATAATTTACGACCCTGGTAATTTAGTCTGTCCAAATGTCTGATATCTTCTACAGGTACAGCCAGAAGCAGCATATGCTTGCTCCTCAGAATACAATACATACATACTACAGCTCAAATTCTGCTTAGATTTAGATTCCTTGCAACTTCACTGAAGTCATTAGGGATGCATGTAACCCAGTCTTTAGTATTAAAAGGACTTCAAAACATGACTCTCTGGACCTTAGGTAAGAATAGGTAATTGGTGCATAAGAAGGTTCCACTTTTTATTTGTTTTTATAAGAACATAAGAATGGCCATACTGGTCAGACCAATGGTCCATCTAACCCAGTATCCTGTCATCCAACAGCAACCAGTGCCAGATGCTTCAGGGGGAATGAACAGAACAGGGCAATTATTGAGTAATCCATCCCCTATCATACAGTCGCAGCTTCTGGCAGTCAGAGGTTTAAGGACACCCAGAGCATAAGGTTGCATCCCTGACCATCTTGGCTAATAGCTACTGATGGACCTATCCTCCATGAACGTATCTAATTCTTTTATGAAACCAGTTATACTTTTGGCCTTCACAGCATTCCCTGGTAACAAATTTAATAGGTGGACTGTGCATTGCGTGAAGAAGTAGTTCTTTACGTTTGATTTAACCCTGCTGCCCGTTAAATTTCATTAGGTGATCCTGGTTTGTGTGTTGTGTGAATGGATAATTAACACTTCCCTATTCACTTTCTTCACACCATTCATGATTTTATAGACCACTATATCATATCTCCCCTTAATCATCTCTTTTCCAAGAATAACAGTCTAAGCTTATTCAGTAATATTGTGAATATTTCTAAGGCTAAATAAAATATTCAGTACTCTCACATGTGTATGAGTTAAATAATCAATCATCAATTGCAGTATCTAGTATATCCTCTAGCAAGGGACTATATTCTGGTCTTGCAGGGAGAAGGATTTGATGATGTGGTAGATTTTTTTTCCATCATAAACTACCACAACCCAAAAGAGAAAAGAAAAGCATACATCTTCTAGTAACCTTAACGGTCCTCAATTTCAATTGCTTTCAATCAGATTTTAAAGGAAGAAACATAGCAACAGTAACTAGGTCAGACTTATTTTTTCAGCATTTCTTGAGCTTCATTAGTTCATGCAGATCCTGCACTGACATTCACTCAGGCAGACCCTTGTGTCTGCACAGAGCCTCACTGATGTTATGTTGCATCTTATGTTGACTTCAGTGGGAGTCTGCATGGCCTCAGGGATCCATCAAGGCACAGTGCTGTGCAGGATTGGAGCCTATTAGCCCTTTTAAAAACAATGTGCATTTCAGAAAATACTTACCATATAGAAACTGGAACTTTCAGCCTCATTCCTGCTAGCTCCTGATAAATCAAAACTATCTTCTTTTCTTTGCACCTCAATGTAATATTTTCTAGACAAAACATATTTTCCAGTTCAGTAAAAGAAAAATAGAAAGTGGGATGGGCAAACTTTTTGGAGTTTGGGATCTTGTGAATCTCTTGCCTATTTCTTAGAGTTGTAAATCTAGTTCATGTTATCCGACTATTTCAACTCTAATTAAATTTATCTTTCCACCCAAGAGTTATTCCATTTAAAAACAAAAATCTAGTTTTCTAGCAAAAAAAGAAGCCTGTGCTATTTATTAGAGACAGAAGTACTCACTTCCTTAAGGGATTCCTCAGCACCTGACAAAAAAGTTAGGCTTGCATGAACAGGAGCCTCTGTATACAGTATATACAGAGAGGCTGTGTTAGTAGTAGTATTGGATTCTTATACTCTGTTCCCCTTTTCAACTGCTCCCTAAGCAAAATGTTAACACAGTAACATTTTACTTTGAGCTGAACTATTGAACAATACTAGAGACAATTTGACCTATTTCTAACACTAATCCATAGCCATTTACTCCCCCCATCTCTGTTCACCCCTCTCCTAGTCACCACTCACTGTCAGTCTTCTACCAGGCACTAACCACCCATTCCCACTCACTTGTCCCCCTTGTACTCATGCACAACACCCGTGTGCACTTCCCTTACATAGTGATGAGCTCCCAAAATCCTAAGAACCGGTTCCCTACTGGGTCCTCGGCGGCACTTCGGCGGCGGGGGGGGGAGGGGGGATCTTCACTCGCTCCAGGTTTTCAGCGGCAGGTCCTTCACCCGGAGCAAGTGAAGGACCTGCCGCCGAAGACCCGGTAGGGAACCGTGCGGTGAGTACAAGCCCCATGTCACATATATATCTATACATCCCCCATGTACTCCATGTTCATGCACAAACCCCATACCTATACACTGTTCATCCAAATACACACCCTCAGATATCCATATACCGCTCATGCACCAACTGTAACGAGGCATCCCCACATTCCTGAGTAACCACACGGTCCTCATGCCTATAATGCAACTAGGGTGACCAGATGATAACTCGAAAATATCGGGACCACTGCAGGGGGAGCGCCTTTTCAATTGTTACACTCACCCGGCACGTCTGGGTCTTCGGAGGCACTTCGGCAGCACTTCTTTCTTTGGCGGCAAGGTTTATTACCTGCGGCCGAAATGCCACCGAAGACCGTCAGCGACTGAAGGACCCGCTGCCGAAGACCCGGACGTGCCAGGTGACTGTAACAATTGAAAAGGCGTTCCCCCTGCCTGTCACCGCCGCCTAAGCAAAAAGGAAAAGAAAGGGAAAAAAAAGGGCCGCCGCGCCCGAAACAAAATATCAGGAAAAATGGCGTCCCGACCGTACTTCGGTCGGGATGCGGGACAAACTGCTTGATATCGGGACAGTCCCAATTTTATCGGGACATCTGTTCACCCTAAATGCAACCATCATACTCATATGCCTGAAATCCCATCCCCATATATCCCTGGGCAACGCCATATCCACTCATCGCCCTATCCTATGCACCACCCTATTCTGATACACTCACCATACACCCCTAAACTCATGCTCCCTCCATGTGTCCCCCCGTACTCATGCAATATCCATGTGTAACCCACACAGCTTCTGGCTGTGGTGTTCTGTCCCATCGAGTGGTGCCAAGACCACTTAGCGAGAGAGATTAATGAGTTTGCTCTACAGCCTGAGCTAACAAGCAGTTGGCTTTTAGCTCATGACGACCAGGGTCTGTCAGCATTGCACATTGTAACCCGCAATCCTCTATTCCCAGTCCCACCCCATATACGTGTCCCCACCCCTCACCATACCCAGGCGCTCTCCTGCACTCCCCACCCCCCTGGAGCCCCGCTCACCAACGCACCCGCCACCCTGCTCCCCATATGCACACGTTCCTCTCCCCCGCTTACAGTCTATGAGCCACGGAGCGGGTGAGGCCCCTGGTGGAGACCCGCCCCGGCATATCCCCGCCGCAGGCAGCACAGTCCCGCATTCTGGTTGTCATGGCAGCCAGAGGGACGCTCGCCTGTGACTGACAGTACTTCTCTCCAATGGGGAGGAAGCCATAGAGGCCGAGGAGCCAATCGGAGCGGCACAGGGACGGGAAGGCTGTACGCCAATTTGAGCGAGCCTTCTGGATACGTCATCACTACGCGCCGAGGTGAGGAGGTTCCAGGCCCGGGTCAGGGCTATGGAGGCAGCTGTGGCTCCGGCCGTGAGGGGGCTGCGCGCGGGATGCCAGCGTCTCCGCTACGGGGCAGGTACGGGGGTGGAGTTCGCGCGGGGGTCACTCCCTCCCCTGGGGTCACAACTTTCCCCTCTCATGGCAAAAGTGGGGTACCCTCTTCCCGCGTCACCGCCCCTAGCGCCCACCCCCTCCCTGGGGTACCCCCTTTTCCCCGTCACGTTCTGGGTCATTCCATCTCTGCCACTTTCTGGGGTCACGCCCCCCATGTCCTCTCCCGTCCCTGGGTTCACCCCTTCCTCCAATATGTTATTGCCTTCTGGGGTCACTCGTCCATCCTCTTCTTGGGGTCACCGAATGAAATTAATAGGCAGCAAGTTTAAAACAAACGAAAGGAAGTATTTTTTCACACAACGCATAGTCAACCTGTGGAACTCCTTGCCAGAGGATGTTGTGAAGGACAAGACTATAACAGGGTTAAAAAAAGAACTAGATAAATTCATGGAGGATAGGTCCATCAATGGTTATGAGCCAGGATGGGCAGGGATGGTGTGCCTAGCCTCTGTTTGCCAGAAGCTGGGAATGTGTGACAGGGAATGGATCACTGGATGATTACCTATTCATTCCCTCTGGGGCACCTGGCATTGGCCACTGTTGGAAGACAGGATACTGGGCTAGATGGACCTTTGGTCTGACTCAGTATGGCCGTTCTTATGGGGTCACCCCTTTCTGTCATACTCTGTCCCCTTGCAGGTTTACAGTTATCTCCACCCTCTCTTATCCCCACCCTGGAGTCACCTCCCACCAGCCCATCCCGTTCCAGGGTCATCCATCACCCCTGTGCTTCATCCCCACTCCTGGGGTCATGTGAGTCCCTTTGAGTCTAATCTCCCATATCCCACTTTCACCGTAAGGTCACCTGTCATCTGTTCCCCTTCTCCCCATTTTCCATTCCTGACTCAGAATCCCTCCCCCCGCATCACACTGGAGTCATGTATCACAAAGGGGTAAGTAAGTAGGTACAACATTGAGTAAATGGTGTGTGCATTCCGTGTTAAGTGTTTGTATGGATATTGTCTTAAGGCTTCCCTCATTTTCAGTGGTGGTAGAGAATTATAGCTCACATAAGTTGTATCTCTGTTTGACAGGTTCTGAAAGAAAATGGAGTTTGCAGTCAAAACAGACTTCTTTCAGATTTTGTAGTACTGGAATGACCTTGGACAACATCAACAAGCCAACCATAGATCGCATAATCAGGGTAGATCATGCAGGGGAGTATGGGGCAAATCGTATTTATGCTGGGCAAATGGCTGTGCTAGGTAGAACTACAGTAGGGCCAGTCATTCAGGTTAGTATGTGTGGTCTAACTTCATCTTATCTTTATGCTTCTTATATACTCAAAGACATATTCTTTAGCTGAAGTACAATAAAATAAATTACAAGGCTATAATTTAAGGTTTGCAATATTTACTTTAAAACAACTGGTCTTACAAAAGCTCTTCCTATGGTAAAATATAAGTATGACCCATAACATAGTGATCGGATTGGCTGATGAGTAGGGTCATACCAAATTCATGGTCCATTTTGGTCAATTTCACGGTCATAGGATTTTTAAAATCATAAATGTCATGATTTCAGCTATTTAAATCTGAAATGTCATGATGTTGTAATTGTAGTTGTAAATGACCCAAAAAGGAATTGTGGGGAGGGTCACAAGGTTATTGTATGTGCGGGTTGCGGTACTGCTACCCTTACTTCTGTGCTGCTGCTGGTGGCAGCGCTGCCTTCAGAGCTGGGCAACTGGAGAGTGGCAGCTGCTGGCTGGGATCCCAGCTCTGAAGGCAGAGCTGCTGCTAGCAGCAGTAGCACAGAAGTTAGGATCACATGGTATGATATTGTCACCCTTACTTCTGTGCTGCTGCCTGCAGAGCTGGGCCCTCAGTCAGCAGCAGCCACTCTCCAGCCTCCCAGCTCTGGTATGATATTGCCATCCTTACTTCTGCACTGCTGCTGGTAGGGCGCTGCCTTCAAGCTGGGCAACCAGGCAACAGCCGCCGCTCTCCAGCCGCGCAGCTCTGAAGGCAGCGCAGAAGTAAGGGTGGCGATACCACAATTCTCCTAAAATAAACTTGCAGCCCCTCTTCAACTCCCTTTTGAGTCAGGACTCCCAGTTTGAGAAGTGCTGGTCTCCCCTGTGAAATCTGTATAGTATAGGGTAAAAGCACACAAAAGACCAGATTTCACGGGAGGAGACCAGATTTCACGGTCCGTGACATGTTTTTCATGGTGGTGAATTTGGTAGGGCCCAATTGCTGAGTGAATCATAGACATGCAGTTGTTGCAGTGGTGTGACAAAGGCTTCGTTATGTTTTAGGTGTCAAGATTCTTGTAAAATAAAACTCATTTTATATGAAAAAAAGGAATGAGGGAAAGCTGTGAAATAACTGTTCAGATTCCCTTTTCCCAAAATGTTAACTAATTACTGGCTATAAATAGGTTTTAACAAAACCTAATAGTAAAGTTTTAACAAATCTGACCAACACTCTTCCTCTTAATTCGTCAACTTTCATTCTTGCTTCTTCTGTTGTCGTCATTTCCTAATTTTTCAGTCCTCATAGAGTTTTCTGTGTTAGACAGGACCTGAATTTCTAATATAAAAGCAAGCAAGAGGGGAGGAAAAGAGACACAACCCATCCCTACCTGCGCACCTTTCAGGCCCTGTTTATGTATCCCAGAGAAAAAACAGTCACAAGCCAATTTAATTTATTTTGTAGATCACCTTTAAAAATCAAATTAGCATGAGTGAAGTTAACATCCATTGAATTTTTTCTCTACATTTATAGTTAATGCTTATTTTCTATTATGTTTTTTCTGTAATTTTATTTCTGTTGCAGCAAATGTGGGATCAAGAAAAGGACCATCTGAAAAAGTTTAATGAGTTAATGGTCACATTTAGAGTTCGACCTACTGTTTTATTGCCTTTTTGGAATGTTGCAGGGTTTGCTTTAGGTGAGTGCATAGTCTTATTGATGTTGTTATTAATAATGTAGGTTGGAATGTTTTGTTTGAATTAATTTGTTTGATAATTACAGGTGCTGGAACTGCTTTACTTGGAAAAGAAGGTGCAATGGCTTGCACTGTGGCAGTGGAAGAGAGCATATCAGATCATTATAACAGCCAGATCAGAACACTAATGGAGGAGGATCCAGAAAAATACAAAGAATTATTACAGGTATGTGAATGTAGTTTAAAGGTATTTCACATATTCTCTGAACAGTATATTGAGACAGTATTTTTCAAATGGCATAAATATGGCATTTGGGTTTGCAGCAGATTATTTTCTCACTGCTAGTTCAGAACACTAAAGGCAGTGAAACACTCAAAATGAAAAGTGTTATGTTTCAATTAGCTGTTGGATTAAATGTAAATATCTGAGACCACAGCTACAGAGCCCATTTCTAGTAGTTGCAATCTGTTTTTTGATGGGGCTAGAAGAGGCAGCCTATGGTGCCCAAACATTTTAATTTAATGGGAGGGACTAGAGAAAAAGAAAATGAACAAATTGTTATAATGTACCATGTGCCATGCTTTGGTTATACTGGGTATGACAATATCATTGCAACTCCAGATACCTTGCAGACTTTGAGAGCAGCTGATCTCTCACCTTCACTTGGATTAGGAACCACTTTCCTAGTCTTTTAAAATTTAATGTCTTTGGGCCACAATCCTGAATTGAGCTCTTAATGGGCAGACAACTGTGCATGTGCATAGCCCTGTTGATTTCAATAGGAGGTCTACCTGTGAGGAGTTTGTTATAAGGTCAGGGCCTAAGAACTCAGTTGTAACAACCCATTGACCACTACTGCCTAGTCAGTTATACATGGGCTGACCTGCAGTGGAGGTTGGGCTGCTCCAGATCCCAGTCTCATAGTCCCAAGACTGGGATTTGAAGTAGCCCAAACTCTGTTGTTGATTAGCATCTGCAAGACTGGGTGAGAGATGAGCTGTGAGCACAAAGGTACCATGTTAAAAAAAGCTGGTCTTGTACCAGTAAAAATACAAGACAAAACAATGACACTGAATGCAAGAGCAGGATAGAGGGAGTATCAAGAACTCAAATTGTCCAGCAGAGTAAGATGTTCTAACTTCGATGTCTGGAGACCCTGAGCACGTCTTTGGCAAAAGTGTATTTTCTTTTTATTTATACAAATATAAAAAGAGGAGCCTATGCAAAGCCCTACGTGAGGAAAACTGTCATGTATGATAGAAAAATCTCACACCATTAGTTCACATATTTTGCTTGAAGGTATTTGGTTTAATAATTTCTGCAATCTGTACTTCACAAAGGAGAAAATTTTGCATTTTATATTCAGCTCATAGCTTGAGTCCTAGTTCTTTCTCTTCTAGGCTTTGATCCTGAAAGTTGTTCCATACAGGGGGAAACTTGAATCCACTGGAGCCTCATGGACTTGCGCGATTAAAAAATAGAATATAATTTATTTAAATATTTTTGGATGTTTTCTACATTTTCAAACATTTTTATTTCAATTACCACACAGAATACCAAATGTACAGTGCTCACTTTATATTTATTTTTATTACAAGTATTTGCACTGTAAAAAAACAAAAGAAATAGTATTCTTCAATTCACCTAATACAAGTACTGTAGTACAATCTCTTTATCATGAAAGTTGAACTTACAAATGTAGAATTATGTACAAAAAATAACTGCATTCAAAAATAAAAATGTCAAACTTTAGACTAGAGCCTATAAGTCCACTTAGTCCTACTTCTTATTCAGCCAATTG